TCCCTGGTTGTCTTGAATCACAAAAAAGCAATCAGAAAATCCTCTTGGTTTCATTCTCTTTCTTTCCTCCCAACTGGGCTGAACTATGTGAAACCTATAGGATTTCCTGTCAGACCAAAGTATGCAAATTAAAAAATATATATATGCCCTGAGTTCTGAGTTTTTTCAGAGCAGAAATTTTCATGGCCACATAGTATTGCCATTTTAAAATTATGGAATTAAATACACAGATAGAAGGATGATGGATGGATGAGTGGGTAGAGGTGACCAGGGCCCCCCAAGTGCCTGTGACTCACGGTGTTTGCCCCAGATCTTGAAGACTCATTTTGCACCTGGCACTTAATGAAGCCTAATTTTCTAGCCACTCTTCAATTTCGCCACACTGCTTCCCATGGGTGGCTTCTATGGGTGGAGAATTCACCATTTCGTTTGACTTGCTCTTTGCTCAAGCCTGGCTTCTTGTTAATTGTGTCTAAATTGTTCTGGACCCTGGGTCTCTTCCAAAACGGGCTGCTAAGCAAGCGAAGCTTCTTTGGGAGACTGCAAATTCAGGACTCTAGCACCAGGAGTATACTTGCTTCATGATTTATGGTGGAGGTGGTGCACTCTGTGTGCTTTTGGTCAATGATGATAAAGTAGATAGCAGTGCCTCTGTGGGTTTCCTGTTGTCCCTTCAATAGCCACCGTTTAGAAGTATTTAATCAGGTATAAAGCGCTGGGGGTGAGAAAACCTTTTCACCCTTGCCCTTGCCCTGTGGACTTCCTCTTTAGATTTTCTAAACTAGTAAAACTATTATATCCCATTTACCTGCATAATTTTGTCTGTTCTTTCCTTAGTTGAGCCGATAAAACATTCCTAGGTAACATGATGACAGTTGCTCTGAGTCTTCAGTTTTCATTCAGTTCCAAGTTAAGTCCTCAAGGAAGCACACACCTTGACTGTCAGTAAGTGCTCATCTGTGCCTCCTTAACTAGTCAGAATAGATCGGCTAAAAAGCATCAGCCTCTAATAGCCAAGGAGGTAACCCACATTTTGTTTTCAAAATTGAGATAAGAAAATTTCATGATGGAGGAGATCCTGAATATTTCAATGTAACGCCCTGAGTATGTTTACGGCATTATTATGCTGTCTGTTGAAGTTTATAAATTTAAAGTTTTGAGCTGTGGTTCTCAAAGTGTGGTCTCTTCACCAGCAGCATCAGTATCACCTGGGAACTTGTTAGACATGCAGAAGGGGCTTCACCCCAGACCTACTGCATTAAAATCTCTGGGATGGGGCCCGGCAATCTGTGTATTTTCATACACAAGTGATTCAGGCGCACGCTAACGTTTAAGAACCCCGGTTTTAGAATGTTTACAAAAATGAGCTTTTCTTTTTTTTATCTTTTTAAAACGTTGGTGTGGACAAACGAAGTTGTCTCTTTTAAAGCATTTAAACACACTGAACAATTATTCATACCCTTTTTCAAGCTTATGTGAATCATAATAGAAATGCCATTTCCCTTTCATTTTAAAATAAGGGCAAAAAGGGGTAACTAACATCTCTTCAGTGTATGCGTGCCCTCGAAAATGAGGACTTTGATACAAAAGCTGAAATGAAATAGGTAAGCAAAGAGTCCTTAGTAGTGAACTGTGCTCAGAAGGCGTACCTTCACACAAAACACATCCACAAGAATTACCCCTTAACACCACTTAGCTGAGAGAGTAGGAGAAAATGTGGGAGTTAGGCCTTTAAAAAAAAATACATCTGAAAAAGTCATTTAAACAAACAAACATAAGCAGCTTATTTTTAATCATGCATAAAATGCTTTGTAAAATATGATGGGGGGGTATCTGCAATTTAATGACTTTAAGCCAGGGCTTTCAAATTTTATTGTTGTTTTTATTGCCTGGAATTCCATCTCCCTGTGACAGTCTTGGGATACAGCTGGGGTAATGCGTGGACCTCACATTACCACATCAGCCGGAGATTAATCAGCTGACATTTATTGAGTGCTTAAAGTTGGCTTGAAGTAGGGGAATAGAGAAAATATGGTTCCCGCTTTTTACCAAGCTTACAATCTCGGTGAGATGGGAGTAAAATTGAGGCATGTGGGCTCAACAAAGTAAGGAAATCGAGTTCGAGGAGGCGTGGGACAGACTGCAAATGCACGGGGGAAGTGGTCACTCTAAGTATCTAGTATTTCAGAAAGGCTCCAGAGAGTAGGTGGGCATCCAAGCAGGCTGCTTACTATCTGCTGAGGATTGTTTGCAGACAGGATGTCAATTCTTTCCCTTCCCCTACCTCTGCCCCTTGGCGATGCAAATTCTCAGCTCCTCACATTCAGAGAATCTACCCCTCCACTCTGGGGATCTGAACTGGCTTTGTAAGGGTGGCAGTGACCAGGTGTCAGTTCTGACCCTAGGCTTCTAGAGGCCTCGCTTGCATGCTAATGGCCACTCTTTTGGCACATGGCCAGCTGCCATGAACAAGCCCAAGCTAAGCCTGTTGAAGGAAAGAGACCACATTCTTCAAGAGATGAGCTGTCTCAGGTGAGGCCATCTGAGACTAGTTAGCCCCCAACAGAGTCCTCAGTGGGGTCAGCTGAGAACACAAGATTCCCCCTACCTGAGTCCAGTCAAAATTGCCAACCTTCAGAATCCCGAGCTAAGTGAATGTATATTGTTTTAAGGCAACAGATTTTGGAGTGGATGGTCATACCCCAGTAGGTAACTGGTATGAGGTCTGAAAGGTGGAGAGTTAGGGAGAAAGCGTGCGAGGCTAAAGCTGCAACTCCAGAAAGACTGAGAGTCAGAAATGTGAAGTCAGGTCAGAGAAAAGTGAAAGACACCTGGTAGGATTGGATGTCTTACCACTTTCTTTCAATAAATCCGTAGGAGCACTAGCGCTAAAGAGAACATATACTGGAGGCCAGACCTGTACTATTATGCTGCTATGTGGGGATCTTCTCTTGAAAAATACCATCGGGGCATAAGAAACAGGAATCCCCACAGCTGAAACACAATGAGCATCAAGACCCTGTCCTTCTAAACGGGACTTTGAGGGAGTGACACACTGTTTTCTAGCCAACTATATTATGCCCAGAAAAAAAAAAAACTTTGTGGCTTATAATCTATCCTTATTTTTATACAAAAAAATCTAAAACTTAAATGACACACTTTTAATAACCTGCTAGAAGCAACCTGCAGAATCCTAAAGTAAAAGATATTATGAAGAGTGCTTTTAAAATCTTAGATTCTCACCACGTGGATTTATTGGCTATTGGATAACAACTTCAACTCAGTTTTATGAGGTCACTGAATATATTTTTCACCATAAAAAAGCCTAAGAGGAAATATTTTCTTTTAAAGATTTTTTTTTTAAATTTATCTATTTGACAGAGAGAGACAGATCACAAGTAGGCAGAGACGCAGGCAGAGAGAGGAGGAAGCAGGCTCACCTCTGAGCAGAGAGCCGGATGCGGGACTCCATCCCAGGACCCTGAGATCATGACCTGAGCTGAAGGCAGAGGCTTAACCCACTGAGCCACCCAGGCACCCCAGAAGTATTTTCTTTTAAATGCTGAAAATGTGTTCTCTTTCTATGGAGTGGTACTTGTTTGAAAAGAACATCCCTGGGGGGTGGATTCTTGTTTAAAAATAGCTCCTGAAATTTGGGGGGGACAGGGTTGGGGAGGGGAGATGGGAATAAAGTTGGGGGGTATTCAGCTGGAATATTGAACCTACAGCTCCTCAGGTTTGAGATTTCTCTTCAGGCAGTCATAGAAGCATCTTTGATTTTAATCATTCAACCAAACTGACTAGTTGACGAAGTGCCATAAACTTTATACAAAATGGCCTTATTGAGCAACTATTTTATTCAAACCTTGCTCCTATCAGCAGTACCACACAGGTCCTAAAATCCTGGGGAACCCGGGATTTCAACGGAGGAAAAGGCAGGGATAAGCAAGACTCCGGTGCCACATAAGGATCGAAATGAGGCGTCATACCTGAAGTGTTCACTGTGTGTGTGCACGTTTGCAGAAGAGCGAGCGTGATGTAAAGTTGCTTTAATTGGCGCTTGTCTGCGGTGAACATGTTGCTCCCTTTTGACTCTCAAGTATCCAGTTCACCCAAAACTTTTCTGAAATGAGGACCCGCATCTCCCATGCCCCCCTCGCCTTTCTCGGCCGGCTCCCCCAGCGGTCGGGCGTCCTGCGCCGGCTAACAGGTCCCCGATTGCTGAAGCGTCACCTCTCACTCCCCAGTAAATCTCCGCAGCCCACTCGGACTGCAGCCGGTTTTCCGTCCGGCCTCCCATTGCAGCAATCAGGGCGGCCGAAAGGGAGGAGGCGCGCCGGGAAGGCGAGACCGAGGAGGACAAACTCGCGGGCCGGGCTCCGGAATCAGCATGGGGAAAGGAAGTGCGGGGCGAGTTCGCACCGCAGGTAAACAGGCTGGCGAGGCGCAGGGCGCTGCCGCCGCCGCGGCCACCCAGCGATTTCCAGGCACGCAACTCCGCCTCCAGGGCTCTCTCCCTCGCGCTCTCGCCCAGCCGCTCGCTCGCAGCCTCAGCAGCCGCCGCAGCATCACTTCACACAAAGGACTGTTACCCGCTGAGCAGCTCCTCCACCTCCACGTCCTCCTCCTGTGACAGCAGCCCCGACAGCAGGGCTCGGGCGCGGCGGCGGCGGCGGCGCCGGGAGGACCTGTCACTCCCAGCAACCGAAGCGGTGGCAGCGGCTTTTTTTTTTTTTTCTTTAATATTTTGCTTTAATCTTCCTCCCTTATACCTCTTCGCCTTTCTGTGGTTCCACCCACCTCTTCCCTCCCTCCTCCTCCTCTTCTTCCTCCTCCCACAAACAACTCTCCCACACCCCTCCCCAATAAATAAATAAAAGGAGGAGGGTAGGGGGGAGGAGGAGTGGTGTAAGGGGGAGGAGGAGAGGAAAAGGGAGGCAGCGCGAGAGAGCGAGGCAGAGTCCGAACCGACAGCCAGGAGCCCGCACGCACCTCGCACCATGAGATGGCGACGCTCCCCGCGCCGCTCCGGGAGTGCCGGCCCCCGGGCTCCGCGCCCCGGCCCCGTCGCCCGCTCGCCGCCGCCGCTGCTGCCGCTGCTGCTGTTGTGGACCGCGGCCCTGGCGCCGGGGGCGGCCGCCGGCGACAAAGCGGCTCCCGCGGGGGCCTCAGTGTGCTACTCGTCCCCGCCCAGCGTGGGCTCGGTGCAGGAGCTGGCTCAGCGCGCCGCGGTGGTGATCGAGGGAAAGGTGCACCCGCCGCGGCGGCAGCAGGGGGCACTCGACAGGAAGGCGGCGGCGGGCGAGGCAGGGGCGTGGGGAGGCGAGCGCGAGCCGCCAGCCGCCGGCCGGGGAGCGCTGGGGCCGCCCGCCCGGGACCCGCTGCCCACCGCCAACGGGACCGTGCCCTCCTGGCCCAGCGCCCCGGCGCCCAGCGCGGGCGAGCCCGGAGACGAGGCGCCCTATCTGGTGAAGGTGCACCAGGTGTGGGCGGTGAAAGCCGGGGGCTTGAAGAAGGACTCGCTGCTCACCGTGCGCCTGGGGGCTTGGGGCCACCCGGCTTTCCCCTCCTGCGGGAGGCTCAAGGAGGACAGCAGGTACATCTTCTTCATGGAGCCCGATGCCAACAGCAGCAGCCGCGCGCCGGCCGCCTTCCGAGCCTCTTTCCCCCCTCTCGAGACGGGCCGGAACCTCAAGAAGGAGGTCAGCCGGGTGCTGTGCAAGCGGTGCGGTAAGTTCCTCGCCCCTCGGGGCGCGCTCCGGCCGGGCGGGGAGGTCGCGGGCCCGGTGCCGCGGGCTCCGGGGGCCCGACGGCTGCAGAGCAGACGCGGGCTGCGGAGTTGAGTTTTCGGGCTTGTGGACTCGAAGCGATTCTCGGAGAAGGTTTCGCGGACTGGATTCCACGGGCAGCGCCTTCTCCAGTTACCTGTTTCCTGGGCTTCGCCATTGGTGAGAGCCCAAGTTTGGTCCTCGGTTGGGGCGGCCTGAAACTTTTTCATCCCTTGGGGTTTCTTTCATCAAGTAGGATGGAGATGGGCCGGCTGCTTTCTTGGGAGTGCATCGTTGAACTTGGTTTTGCTTGGGAGGCGCTGACTATGCGTGGGCCGCCGTGTGGGGGCTTTTCCCTTGAAGGAGGAAGGGTGAGTCCGACAGGATTTTCACGCTTTTCCTTCCCTTGGGAGTCCGGAGTGTGGAGATGGTCAGGGGTCTGGGTCTGCGGGAGGCCTCGCGAGGAAAGGACGCAGCGCTGAGATTCCTCTAGAAATGTGACGGAGTTTTTGGCCAACTCCGTGTCCAACAGATAGGTGCTCTCTGTACCTCGTGAATAGGTACATGGGAGAAGTATGAAGTTGGGCCATTCATTTTTGGTGAAGTCATCTCGAGAAATTTTGTTTTCACAGTATTTTGGTTTGGAGTATGTTTTGGCGCGTCCGTGAATCAGAGCAGATGAACGTAGTTACGGAGCTTCACGTGTAGGCCCTGAAGGAGGGTTTGGGAAGCTAGACCTTTCCCCATTTTACCCGTGGAAAGTATTCTTCTCAGGTCTCCTTAATGGGATCAGGTCTGAGAAATTAGCTGATTACATTTCTGAGGTAGCATTGCATTTATGGCATTCATAAAATAATTTCTAGGTTCGAACTGTCTCTATAATTTCCTGATTACCATACAATCACTAAAACATAGCAGGGTATCTTCACAAACCATAAATTAACATGATTACACATCACAAATTCTAACATGCACTGTAGCTTTTCCCTGTGTCTTTGTGTATCTGTCTTCTAGATGGTTGGGTTAATTGAATTTTTACAAAACTCAGCACCATGCCATGCTCCGCTCCGTCTGCCTGTGATGCAAAGTGTGTCAGTTCTCTTAAATTCGAGTCTGATGATGGCCAGTTATTTAAATTTCTGGTTGCATTTGCGGCGCTTCTATTCTGCAGTTAATTGATACCTAACGATTTGGTTTTAATGACAAGAAAGAGCATTGCTCATCCACCATTTCCCTATTTTAACAATGTACTTTGTGCGCCAGACCTGTTCAGATTGCACCACTCTGTGGACAGAAGCTGTTCTCAGACAGTGGTGCTGATGAAGGCTGAGTGACGTTGGGATTCCCCGGGTCTGGCTGATAGATGTCACTGTAAAACATGGGAAAAGCTCTGCTGGGAGCTGTCTTATTAGGGAACACGAAAGCTCAACTCCATTGTACTGCAGCATATGTTACTCTGTTCTAGGTCCTGAAACAAAACCTTTGAAGCCATACTATTGTCCAATTTCCCCCATGCTCTATTATATGTAATTCAGAAAGGATTTTGCATTTACCCCAAATCATGAGTTGTGAATCGTGTACTATACATGGTGGTAATTGATACAAAAGGGAGAGTAGTTGGCAATGACTCCTAGGTTTGGGGGTGTTACTGGATTAGCAATGGAGTTTTGTGTTTTGACTAGAAATAAATGTCAGAGTTCAGGGATAAAGTTCTTATAGGCATCCAGAGGATGTTTGGAAATGGAATATTCATGTTGTGGGGAGAAATACTATTCTGTTTTTGTGCTTCTAAGGGGAAAACCTTCAGGAGGATAGTTTTGCCCTTTTGTTTGCGAAAAGAAATACATAGAAAACTGGCATGCTAAGCAAAGCAGGTTTTTTTTTTTCCCCCAATGAACTGGAATTCTCCCTGCATATAATTGAGTAGATTAAGAAATCATGAAGTTACTGCTCCAGGTTTGTGTAATGATTGTGTATGTTTGGTGGTGTAAGTGTTCATTACTTCAAGGTAGAATATTGAGTGAAACCTTAAAGGTGAGGACTGATGGAAATCATGCTGAAAGTTTCTCTTGCATTTTTATGAACATAGTAGTTATTATACTGTTGTGGGATAAAAGTAAGGAGTATGGGCTGTTTTGCTTGATCTAATATAAACTCGGTAAACCCATTTTGGAATATTGGGTTTAAAAGAGTGCATGTGAGAATGTGAAAAGTTGTGAAATCTCCCAGTTGGGTGGTTTCTGTTAACAATGTCATTCACAACCTCCCAGGCAAAGGAACATAAATTGGAGAAGATACAGAGAGAACAGGGGCTGATTTGTCCTGGTTGAGCTGGCCCTGTGTGCTGCTGGTGAGATTTCAGGGAGAGTGATGGAGGGGACCGTTCTTATCTAACGACATGAAGCTGCCCTGGGGGTGTGACGGTTGCGTTTCTGCCTGAGCCATGATGCCAGGCTGGAGAGGGAATATAGCAAAGTCATTTTGCGATATCATACCCTGGGGAACAGTTTCCAGCTCTCATGCGCTCAGCTGCAGTGTGTTGTTTCCTACAAGTTGCTTACTAGTGTAGAAACTACACATGCAACAGATTAGCTTTAGGGTTGAGCTAACAGAAGGCTTCCCTGAATTTTTTTCTTTTTTTTTTTTTTTTTTTTTTAACCCCATCCAAGATAAACTCCGAGCAGTGTCTGTATAAAAAGTTCTGTCCGGAAAAATGATCTTTTGAAACAAACTGTTTAGTGTATTTTAGAAGACAACACAGAATTTCATAGCTCGTTTGCTTTTTATTTGAAGTTTGTATAAATTATATACAATTCTTGTAGTTATTTAAATGCTTCCTGGTCTTTGCTTTTGCTCTTGCTCACTGAACAAGCTAAGAAATATTTTTAGGTTTTATATTAATTGGAATGCAAACTAAATTGCTGTTCAATTAAATTTCTGTTATTCAAACAAATCATTGGTTGATGCACTACGACTTTACTTTTCAAAGCACTGCAGTTATACTAGGCAGAAAATCCTTTCTAAAACGGAGTAAAAGTACTGGTGTTGAACAACCTCTATAATTGGGCCATGAAGATTTGTACATTGTCGTCTTTCAAGCCAAAGTAAATATTCGGTATATCTTGTAATACTGGAATGTATTGATAACATAAGCATGTTTATCAAATATTTATGATAAATGGCATTTACCTTTTTTAATATCCTCAATAACTATTTAATAAAGTGAGCTGACCTTATGGTGTTATGAAAATGACAAATGCTGCGGGGATTTTTCAGCCAGCACTGAAAAAAATAATTCTTAATAAAAGCTATATTAAGTAAGTAGCAATAGGAACAGATACAGCTTGGCTGCTTGTGTTTCATAAATACACATGTAAATTTAATCTCCCAAGTGTTTGTGACTGCTCTCTTTAAACTGTATAAATCTTACTGTTAAAAATCTGTACTCAAAACACTTCTTTCTGTCGAGGAGAGAAACTGTATATGTACTTATTTCTATTTATGATAAAAAAAAAAGGACCAAGATCACTCATTTGGAAAAACAACTTCTTGAAATAAAAATGTTTTAAAAGGGGAATTTAAGTATCTGAAGTGGAATATTTTATAAGCACTAGAGATAGTTCTCATAAGTTGTGGGAGATCTGTAAATCCTCGGAATCTAGGAAAAGTTTTACCATATGTCCTAATGTATTAGGTAAGATGGGGAAGCTTAAACAGCACCAAGGGGCGAAACGATGAGCTGTCCTTCTGCTGGCCTGTGTATTTATAGCAAATGAGAGCAAAAGACGTGATTGGGCAGGTTACTGCCTTCGTCAAATGTAATCTATTCATTGTTCAGGGAATCTCCTTTTCTTTGAAGCTCATTTTCCTATTTTTTTTCCTTAATTATAAACATAACTTTAAAAAAAAAACATATTTTTAAATATCCGTGACAATTTATGAATTGGCCTTATGTCCAAAGACCTTGAAACTCTCACCTGCCCTTAGTACTTCATAATACTTAAGTTCTTGGTTTGGTTGTTTTTGATATGCTTAAATAATCTGAAAAGCTTCTCTTTACAGATCGGTCTTACTGAAAGAGTATTTTGATTGGCCTTATAGAAATAAATGATAATAATGAAAACAAAAAACATGATGAAAAACAGTGGTAGGCATTCATTGACCATTACATTCATTAAAAGTAAATAATGAAAAAGTATATGATGAAAACTAAAGGTAAAAAATTAGGGTTCCTATGACTCATGCAATTTGTTGCCAAAAACAATAGCGTAACATGCCTTAGTCAAAGTTTTCATGAGGAAGTGATAACTCCTTTGTATGTTTCTTATTTTTAAATATCAGAAATGACTTTTGTGGACAGTTTTCCATCCATATGAGAATGTTCTAACTTTGTGCATGCACATGTTACTCTGTGCTCTGATGTAATAAAACTTAAGTTAAAATTAACATTATGAAAGATCATATGACCTAGCTTCCCCAAATATGGGTCACTTCGTAACATATAACAAGTGATGAGTGATACATTCTGCCATACTTTTAAATCCAAAGCCGAGTGATTTGAGAATTTACAGAATACAGACTTAAGGCTTACTAGCTTGAGGTAAATACTAATTGAGAGGCTGTGTTTTCGTATTGCTTAGTGCCGTGATGTGCTTGAGGCAAGCCTTTAAACAGGAGGCAAGCCTAGCTCTCTGTCCCCAAATGATCCATACAGGTTGAAGTAGAGAAAATAAGAGAAATCTTGGTGAAATTGAAAGCTTAAAATGGGTTGACTCATCTCTGCTTGGCATAGATCCAATTTTTAGGGAAAAATTCCCCCCACTTTAGACTTGCCATCAAGGAATCCTAGAGAGAGATACAAACGTGGTAATTTACATTATTATTATTATTATTATTATTTTAGTCCTTAAGAGAACCAGGATATTTTTCCTTATGGAAAACCGTTTCTGTGCAAACTATGTC